CTCCTGTTGGAATCTCAGAAGCTTTTAACACGTGCAAAAGATGCTCACAGTCAAGTCCAAGTCTTTCCTCCACAACTCTCTCCCAGATCTTAATTCGCTTTGTTTACATGTGCAAAAGTCTTTGACCGGACTGAAATGTTTTCAGATTAAATAATTCAAATGTATCGTTTACATGGGGGCGGTCTGTTCATGACGAGCGTTTACCTGCAGCGGCCTTTGTTCTGAACAGAAGTACTGACGTGCGCAGAGCGGTAAACTCTCCTGAAAAAACACAGAAGAAGAAGTTCTACTTCCGGTTTTCTTCCGCGATGAACGTAAACAAAGCTGAGCGGCAGGTTTTAATGACGGTGGAGACGTCGCTGCACTCCCTGACGGAGCTACAGGTAACGCAGGTCATTTTGAGCTCTTTCAAAGTTTCTAGTAGAAATGTGTCGCTCACCGACCAGTTTTACTTCCGGTAACATTATTAGCATTAGCCAGGCGGACATGACACAGGTCGCACGTGCGCAGTCAGGTCAGTTTTCGTGATTGGAAAAAAAATGAACATTTTTATTCCGAACGGCCGTTTAATCCGATTACTTGTGTCCATGTAAACATAGCCACTGTGTGACTCATCAACTTCATTCCCCGTAGTCGCTACAACTCTGTACATCACCCTCGTTCTTACAAATGGCCACCAGCACACTTCTCCTCCATTCCTCAGACATTTTCTCACCCTCAAATATGTTGTGGAATATCTGAGTTAAAAACCTCAAGCCTGCTCTTTGTTGTCGCTCTGCTGAGTTGTATCTCAGTATTTCAGTTACACACATGTAGTGCTGTATGAGCATCGTTGTACAGTATTAGAATGCACAAAGTGCAGAAATATTATGAGTTGTATTGTCAGCAGTAAGTAGCCTGGTCACTGAGCACAACTGTTGGCAAATCCAGCTGGTTTTTTTAAGCTGCAACTGGATTATGGTAAAGTCAATCCCTAAGTCATTCCTATCTCTGAGTTCTGGCTTCTGAGGTTAATTGAACGCAGCGTCACTTAAATTGGTCCAAACTGTAATAAAAAAAATTTAAGCTACAGGTAAGATAACATTTTTTAATTTTTTTTACTTTTCCATAAAACACAACTTCAAAATATCTGAACTATTGCTTTAAAATAAGTAGATCGCATCACTCTATCTCATTTCACTTTTTAAAATTCTGTTGGACGTTTGCAGCCAAGTAAAGATAACGATGAATTTAAAGCTATTGTCAGAAATATTTGAGCACTGTCAAAGCTTAAAGTGGTTTTACGTGAATAAACTGGACAATTGTTTCCTCTTGTGCGTTTATAATAATTAAAAAGTACTCATCAGTTCCTCATATGGCCTCAGTACATCACCTCTGAAAACAGACCAGGACCTCATGAGGCATCATGTAACTCAAGAATCTATACGAGTCAATCAACAGCCTGTGATAACAAGTCTGCACATGCAAACTTAAATAAGTTACCATGAGCTTGTGCAAGAGTGAAAGGTCATCCCTCTCTTCTACAGCCTACAAAAAGATTTTTATTGTCCCGCCCCGTCATGGAGCAAAAGGAGGAATTGCAAATCCCGTCCGTTTGTGAACGTTGTGAGCACGATAACTTAAAAAACAAGTCAGGTATCAACTTCCATTTTGGTGTGTGGCTACATCGCGATGCAACAAATTGCTTCTTTTGAAAAGTAGGTTGTCAAGTCAAAATCCAAAACGCCTGCTTCCATAAATATGAAAACCCTGTGAGCTGGATAAATTGAAAAATAAGCAACATTAAATTCCAAGATGGCCACCACCATATGTGTGTAAACTGACAACCCCATCATATGAGGAAACTACGCTTTCTAGTTCTTATATTGCTTTAAAATAGTTCCTCAAATGACTGGGGTGGCCAGAGAGATGGCTGAAGAATAATCTGTGCTGGCCTTGGCCACCACTGGTCTACCATTGTGCCTGCTGGTGGAGAAAATTGCCCCCTCCGCTTACCAGGATCTGTTACTGTGCGCTTCCTCGAACAGGCCAAAATAAATAAATAAAATACATCTGTTCCTATACACAGTGCAACTTCTACCCATTTGAATATCTTGCACCTTAAACATTATGGTTTACTTGCATTCCCTGTTCAACTCCAGTCCAGAAAAACAGTCACCTCAAAAACTACAAACATTCACTATTCAAATCCTTCAGTGATGGGGGGGGGGGGGGGACATCAGCGTACCGCTCGTTTAATTTACATCTGACACATGGGAATCTTTTCACTGCACTAGAACAGCGTTCTTCCTGCAGCTCAAAGAGATGAGGAAATGTTTTCATAAGCAGTTTGAGAGACTGGAGCCCGACAGACGTTTGGGGACCTATCGGTAGCGGCAATAACTGTCCCATTATAAAGACACTTCTAACTTTCACCCCTAAAATGCTGGGACTAGCGGTAATTGTACAATGTATCCAGCAGAGGGCGCGTGTCATGGCCGTTCACTTAAGTTTCACTTTAACGTTCAGCACAGACGAAGCAGCGAGCAATGTGTATTTTCCAGAACAGATCGTGGTAACACAAAGTTTGTTTTCTCAGTCATCCAGGTATATAACAACAAAAA